GGGGGGGCCCCCCCCCCCCCAGCCGCTACCCTGGTGCCCACCGGCAGCGCCTCCTGGACCCGGTGCCAGGATCCAGAAACAAGACAAAGCCCCTGAGTCTCCGACAGAGGAATGAGGGGCGGGGACGTGGGTGGGGAGAAAGGGCTGATGCTCCCTAGGTAACGTCCATCCTATTCATTCGGCTGTTAGCCAGACTCGGAGCCCTGGACGGGCCGTGGCCTTCTGAAAAGCAGTGACCTGTCTGATCCCCCCAAGGCATTCTGGGAAGCTCCCAGCTGCTCTCCCACCCATTTCTCCTCACAGCAGGCAGGACAAGCTTGGGGCTCGGACCCCTCCGCGGACGTACGCACCACGCAGCCGGAGGAGTCCAATTTGCGGTCCGAGATGCAGCGGAAATTCTTGCTGCAGCCCCCGTTGTCCTTGGAGCAATCCCGAACGGGTCCAAAGGAGTCTAAGAGAACCTCCAGGCTATCGAAGGAGGAGGAAGTCATCAGCTCTTCCCTGCAAGGAGGAGAGGAGAGGGGCCCGATAAGAAATCCAGACCCTCCAGCATTAATATTTAACTCCATTTCAGTCTGAAGTGCTAGTCATCACCGACACTGTGCAACAGCCTCAGGTCCACTAGCGCACAACAGTGGTTCGCAGTCGTGTGGCCGGCGTTTTGCACTGATCACGAGTGCAAGTGAGGCTAAACACACCCAGGAGGTGGCCGGACCCCTCCCCAGCCGTGTGTACATGGAAAGCGCATGCTGCCCCTGCGGACACGTGGCGCCGAGAAGCCGCCTCACTCAGCAGCCAGGACTCTTAAGTCCGTACAGCACGTTGGAGCCACGCGCGGACACGGGTTAGACCCACGAGGCACGCTCCGAACGACTCCATCGACTGAGAACGGAGAGGACGCGGGGGCAGGGCTCTCAGCAGGCCGAGGACCATGGCAGGCGGCAGGCCCCCTGGTGAATGAGGGAAAAAACTCCGCCAAGAAAGGCGCAGCTGGCGGGATGTCGCAGGGCACTGACCTCCCCTCTAGCCTGGAATGCACCTCCCCAGAGTATGCCCAACGCCAGCGCCCAGAGGGCCCCGAACATGCACAAGCTGGGGTCAGCTCCCTGGCTCCTCCAACGTCAGAGCCTGCCTTGTGAGCGGGATCCCGCTGCCCCCAGCCCTCTCCCTGCCAGCTCCGCCCGGCCCCAGAGACGCGCTCACCTGACCTCCACCGCGTCCTCCATCACCGTCATGTCCGTCTTGCACTTGGCCGAGGGGTTGATGGCCAGCTGAGGGAGGGGCAGCCACATCCCTTCCCCCAGGGTGTAGGTGAACCTGCGGGACGGGGGGAGAACCATTCACCGTGGAAGGAAAACAGGCCACCTGACCTGGAAGCCGCACGGGGGACAGAGGCAGGGACACACACGGAAGCGAGGGTGTGACTGCCACAGGGACTGGATAGGGAGGGCGGTGCAGGGCCCATGTCTCCCCCATTCCTGGAGCGAACGGTGGACGTGTCCCATGAAGACCCAATGCAGACAGCTCCTGGGCCACACACGGGGGGGGGAAGGAGCTGCCGAGGTTCGCGGATGGCTCTGGGTCTCTATCCACGGCCCCCGTCCCTAAAGTATTCACACCTCCCTGTCCTTCACGTGTTCACCTTCACGCACCCCACAGGAGGTAGCATGAGCTGATGGGCAGCAAACTCAGGCACAGGCTGATTAAGTGACTTGCCCTGGGACGTCTGTGGCGGAGTCGGGTGTCGAACCCGGGTCTTCGGCGCACCTGTCGTGGGCCCTACCTACTAGGCCAACCTGCAAGTGGCAGGTCAGCGATTTGCCCAAGGTCGCAGTGAGCTAGAAACAGAACCCAAATCTGCGGGGTGCCAGCCCTCGGAAATGCGGCTACCTCCAAGGGATCCGGGTGGTGGTTTCCCATCTCGCCCGTTGCAGGCCACGAGGCATCCTGCCTTCGTTGCCTCTTCGCCCTTCCCCCCGGGGCAGGGTGGGGCGCTTCACGCACTTGTACACACACCCCCACGGACACGGACCCCCAGGGCCTGTACCAAGTGCCTGATGGAGACCATCTGGCTGGTTCCCACAGGCCAGCGGTCAGCCCAGACTCAGCCAATCGGATCCCTGGCTTTGGCGCCCACAAGAGACGTCCTGGGACCCCCGGGAACTGAGGAGTGTATTTCCTGAGGGACGTTTGCAGCCATTGGTGCCCAGAGGACACGGGGAGGGGCTGGCCGCCCGCAGAGGGCTACGGTCACCGGGGAGGCTGGCAGGGCAGCCAAACCTTACACCTTACCTAAAGATCTTATCGGACGGCTGCTCTCCCAGCACCAGGTCAAATCCACGCTGGAATATCGTGTACGGCCAAGGCCTGGAAGGAGAAAAGAAAAAGACCCTCGCCTAACGTGCTCCATTTGCAGAGCAGCGCACGGAGCAGATCCGGGGGCCGGGTCCCATGTCCCCTGCTCCTGCGCGTACCAGCAGTGACCCCGCTGGGGAGTCACACCGGAGGGACGCCGGCGGGAGACCAGAAGCAGGCTCTCGACACAGCCACGGTTTGGCATCACTCCCAGCTGATGCCAAAGTCCGAGCCCCTCCATCCGGGGCGGACGTCAGGGGCCCCGGCTTGGCTGCTTGGCACACGCTCCCCGCCCCCGAATGTTCTGCTGGGCTCCCGGGGGGGCACAGCCGTGTGATTTGCTTCCCCTTGCAGGGGTGAAAAGGTTGCGATGCCTGCATGGCATTTACCCACCACAACTCGGGGTCCCCCCTGGCATGGGGCCCTGGGCCACTGCCCCGCCTGGTGCCCCCAGCCCCGACGGGGAGAAGGGAAGACGACTAGCACAGTCCACTGACCGAAGGGGGAATTCAATGCGGCGTGGGGCCCGCACAAGGGAACGAACACTCCCACTTCCGAACAGCGTCTGCAGGTTTCTCGGACCCCTGTGCCCTGTCCCCGCCATGTCCTGCAGGATTCTGGGTGTCTTTTGGCTCCATCCCATCCCGGGTCTGGTCCTGGTCTGATTTTGCAAGCAGCTCTGAGCAGGCAATCCCCGGTGCCTGCCTGGAGCCCCGCTGACTCAGTTTAATTACGAGCCTCCGGCGAAGCCGGCTCCTGGAGAAACCCAGAGCATCCTAGTCACCTCCGCGCCTCCTCTGGCGGAACACATGGCCGCCCTGCGGCGGAAAGCCCGTCCACGAGGGAGGAAACAGCTCCCGTGACAGCAGAAGCAGCTTTAATTGACTCTCCTGCTCCGGTAGTCAGCCACGCCCCCCGAGAGCCCGGCCCTCGTCTTCCCAGAGGCTGCAGAGCTCCAGGAAAGCGAGGGGGCAACGGCGCTCTAGTCTCTTCCCGACACCGTGCAAAAAAAGCCAGGTCTGGAGGGCCCCAGGACGCCACTGCTGCCTCTGCCAAACTCTGGCTAAGCCAGAAGAGCCCCGTGGAAGTCAGACAGCCCACGGAGGAATGGCCACTGACTCTACAGCCAACGTGGCCCTTCACGAGGCTAGGGGAGCCCAGAGCCTCGCGGGCCAGACGGGGGAGGCCGGGGCTGACCCAGGCCACGGGCTCTGCTTAGCAAGGGGAAGAAGTGGCTCCACACACTGCCACGCCCCAGCTGCTCCCACGGGCAGGCACGCCACAGAGCTCAGTTCGATGGCTCCGCACTCCAGGACATCAAGGGCTCTGCTTAGCAAGGGGAAGAAGTGGCTCCACACACTGCCACGCCCCAGCTGCTCCCACGGGCAGGCACGCCACAGAGCTCAGTTCGATGGCTCCGCACTCCAGGACATCCGTACACACCTGCCTGTCGGCCAGAGGCTACGCCGCCCCTCGGGGCTGGCGCTGGGCCCATGACCCCCCCCGGCCG